GAGCAAAGACTGGTGCGCTCCCTGTGCAGAAGGGACCAGAGGTCCAGCAAGGAGCAGCAGCTGATCTGAGTGAGGCTGGGTGATGGAGACTGAGCAGGAAGCTGCAGAACGAGAGAATGGATGATACTACGTATTAAATTGCACATTGTTTTACACGCCACCTTATGTGTTTGCATGAGAGGTTTCCTTTTGGTTCTATTTTTTTAAGCTGATTTTAAACCAAAACCATACTGTGTTGTGTTGGCTTTTCTTTTTTTTCATAATTTCATTTTTCTCTTGTTAATAATGAACCAAATGGGTATAAAATCCAGTTTTTTAACTTATTTTTTAAGCTGGCTCTATTGTAAATAGGATCTAGATCTGCGGTGTTTAATTAGGAAATACTCTACTGGCCACATGGAGCAAATATACTCGCTGTCCTGTGTTGCTGTGGAAAAACTGGGATGTTGGGCTCGACCCTGTACCTAGGGGCGCAGGTGAAATGACCCATTCTGGCTTGTGGCAGGACGCTGATATTCCCTTCTGCATTAGCCACTGGCAGGAAAAGCCCCAGCTGTGCCTTGGATGGACACTTGTATTTTTCCAGCTCAGTAACAGAATTGAAAAACTTCTTCCCTGTCTTCCGCACTCCATGCCAAACGCCCAGCTCTTCTGCATGCAGGGTGGTGCTGGTGGCCTTTCCAGCGGAAGGGCCATCTTTACAGCACAGCAGGGACCATGCCTGCTACTCTGGGAGCAGGGCTTTGCAGGTGAACACGCAGCCATCTCACCTGGTTCTGTCTCTGACATTTCTGCATAAATCCTCTTTCTGAAATTGGGCTCTGCTCCCTTGCTCAAGGTCACCTTAGAAAATGGAATTCAGTGCCCTGTGCTTGCAGGTCTATGGGACAGAGGGATGCAGACCTGTGAGCATTTGCTGTGCACTGGGATTTTTCAAGTGAAGCAGCCATTGGTGCTGAGACAGTTGGCCCTAGGCTGAAAAATGTCTGTCTTTGAGTACTTGTTGCCTTCTATACGTGATTGTGGCTCCATCATGGGAACAGAGCCTTGTGCAAAGCTGTGGGGAAACTCACACAGCCTTTGAGAAGGAGCTATGTTGTTGGGTACTCATAGTACAGGGAGAAGAGCGCTCCCACCTTACAAAGAATTGGCAAATGCTGTTTCTCAGGCACAGTGCCAAGCATCAGTACAAAGGAGGTCACCATATGAGCAGGTAAGTCTTGGCCTGTTCTCCCTCCCCTTATTTTTTAAGGATAAGTGAACACGTGGGGTGCCATTTCCCTTCCTTGAAGGTAACGATTATCAGTGTGTCAGTCAGTGCATGGTGCACACAGGCCACGGTTTTCAGGGTGAACAGAACTGCTGTAAGACTGTACATGTACTGTCTGGTTAGAAGCTTTCTACTCATCCTGCATTGTGAGGAGCCCTGCACGCACCGAGCAGCTTCCGGGGACAGAAGAGATGCAGCTGCTAGCACAGTGGAGGGCAGGAAGGATTCTGCTTTCAGTGGAAGTGACCCCAAAGGATCGAATTTTATCAGTGGATTCCTGTTTTGCATCTGGCCCCCTGCCCTGCTGCTCCTGGTTCCAGCTGCTGTAAACATCAGTCCCTGGAGAAGTGGAGTAAGTGAAACAGAAGTCCTTAAGATGCTAATCACACTGTTCCCGTCTTTTTTTAAATTTTTTTAACTTTTTTCTTTTTCTAATAGCCTGTCTCCCTCTCATCAAGTCATATGGAGAAAAAAGATGATATGCCCTATGGCATAGCTGACAGTATCGAATTGATCATGACAACACTAGTTGGTTACCAGTGTTTCTTCCAAGGAGACATATATTTTTAATAAACACAGAGTTGCAAAGAACTTTGTCTTTGAGACCTTCTTGTAGAGTCCTTCCTTTTGTGCCAGATCTGGTTTTTTGGTACCAAGCTTAGCAACTATTGATATGGTCTCTCCATGGCAAACTTTAATGTTGACAGTTTAAAAAAAAAAAAAAACGTTTTTTTTTTAGTGTGAGGTGGTCACTGAGAACTTGCCTAAAAGAGGAAGAAAATTAAAACAAAAAAAGAAAACAAGGGAAGTGGGCTCATTTACAGCCGTAACCAGGCCACAGAAAAGCTCTTTTGGATGGGTTGGGTTGTTGTAACATGGGGTTTGATGACTTGACATCGTAACTATATTTTGGGTCATAGCTTGATTTGAGAGGGGTTTGCTTTACAAATGCAAATCAAATATGGGTGTTTATGTGATGCTACATAACTGTTCCTGTATTTGATATAAAGACAGTGAAGTAAACATAAGAGTCCAACTAATACAGAGCATCTTTTTTTTAGTTTGACATGCTGTTTAGATACCAGAGAGAAGAAAGAAGTTATAAAGACAAGTAGTATGTTTTTCTAGTACCTGTAAGTGCAGAAAACAGGAGTGGTCACTGAAAGACAGATACGGTTATGCGGTGTCATTATACATTAATGCTTCAATCTGCTCTGTCATTTAGCTGGGCTGATTGAAAGGTGAGAGGGGTTTATATTTTAAATCTTGACTGTGTTTTTTTTTCTTTCAAACTGCCTGGAGAAGTGAGATTTCAGGGGAGCAGGACATAGTTTGCAGACAGTTCAGAGTTTATGAAGCTCACTGGAGGTTATAAACTCCTTTAACTTGTCAGATCAACAGTCTTGAGGTGGTGGCTTCCTTAAAACACTGGAAGATTAAGAAATTGCTGAGCAGATCTGGTGCTAGCTGTTCCCCAAAACCAAACTGTTTCCTTACATAGTGATGGATTTGGAATGACAAAGTTGTTGGTGTAAAGCATCACAGGAACATTGCCTGTTAACACCTGCCACAGTAGCTGCCAGGCTTCTTCTCTGTCCAGTCTGCAGTTAACGTCCACGAACTCTGGGTTGCAGTATGTGGATCTGCAGACACTCCGTCCTAGACAATCCCTGATGCCTCCTGAACCACTGTGTCATCTTGAATTGCTCCAACAGTGAAATGTTAAGGTACTAATGGGGAGAGGAACATGGGGTTATGTTTTCAAATAAATCATGTCACTTCTGTAAACTGGAGACAACCACTGGAAGAGTAACCCACATGCTAAGAGAATGAAGGTGGCATTAAGGGAAAGGAGGACTTGCTTTTCTGAAGTGTTTTAACAAACTATTTTTTCTGGCTAAGGACAAATTGCTCTGCCTACCATGACCTGAGCAAAGTCCCTCTGGACTACACATTAGCAGAGTATTGTCCTGTTAAAGGTCCTGTCTC